ATAGATAGATAGATAGATAGATAGATAGATAGATAGATAGATAGATAGATAGATAGATAGATAGATAGATAGATAGATAGATAGATAGATAGATACACATCTATAATCTTGACATATAGTTATATATGATCACATACCTATTTATTTATACTTTAAATTCTGTATATGCACATCTACATCTAAAAACAACAGTCTGTACTGTGTGCAAGCTAAAAACCTTGAAAAAGATTGGTCTTGCACAGCCGATCGATGTTCACTACAACAGACGTTACCTACTTTCTGCCACATTCAATATGGCGGTGACGTCGACATGTGAACCTGCGCCCAACAAGCCGTCTGAGTATAATGTCTGTGGATCTAAGGACTCAAAGAAGCTTCAGCTCCAGACATGGTTTAGTGGTGTTTGAATCAGTTTATTGAATGTTTTATGATTTAAGTTTAAGGATTGTATCATCATCAAGAAAGGAAATAAGGATTAATCAGAAAGGATAAACCAGCTACTTAGATTAATGTTTTTACCCTTTAAACTAGGTCTGGATGATCAATGGATAAAATCGATCCATAGCTCAGGGTGACGTGACTTCATCACTTTTGATTCTTAGATAACTGATAAACTAGCTGACTGTTGTAACTCCAGCAGCTGCAAACATTACGTTTGTTAGATTTTCACAGCTTGGATTTCATTGGTCTTTAAATGAAGGTACCATCCCAAAGGGAAAATAACGGATTAACCGGAATATGGTAGATTAAAAAAAGTAGAGCTTTCAAGCCCGACTTTTAACTACTGCAGAATCAATGATGTTCTGAATAGCTAGCAGATCCAAGAAGTTTTCTAGCAAAGGAACCCTCATTATTAAAAGGTTATTAGTTAACACACTCTTCATTTCTTTTCATTAAACTCATCTCAGCTGTTTTAGTTCCTGACGTGCTTAAAGGTTGCTGAGAGAAGTTCAAGCTTCAGCTTCTCTGATCGCATTGCTCAGTCTGCCGACCATCAACAACAAAACACAAAACAGGTAGCCTAAAATTAGATTGAAAAACAGATATAATATCCAGCCTCTATCAATATAGATCATTAAAGGGTTTTAAAGTGGAAACAATTATTGATTAGAAAATGCATTTATTTTATTTGTAGCAGAAATATGTAAACTCAGGGAGAGATAGCACTGATAAAAAACAGGTGTGTTGCTTAGATACCATCAGTAATGATTAAAGTGTGTTTCTGGTTAAATATGTGAGAGAACAATGTTACCAGGACAGTTTAGGCCAGAACACACCGAATCTGATTTTGATATAAAATTCGGAAATAAAATCGTGTTGGACGAGGTCGTGGCGTTTAGTGCTCTTTGAAGGTCAATGTGGAGGATCACACCTGACACAATTTTATTCGGACTACGCAGTGATTAAGCGAGAAGTTCATGAGACAGGAAGAGAGACGTGGTTACAAAATAAAAGGCATCCGCTTTGGGGTAAAATACAAAATAAAGTCTGTTAATCGCAAGAGAAGCCAGTCAGGTTTAGAGTCGCGCATCACGTATATAGCAAGCAGGACAGACCTGTGCAAAAAGGATCAATTCAACATTAAAACAATAATACTTTACCCGTGATGGGAAATCAGCAGGACAGAAAACTGATAAAGTAGTGATCCTTATCGAGCCTCACAAAAAATGATGAGGTACAGAAAGCGCAGTTTATCAATCTCCTCAAAAAAAAAAAAAAACTTTAGGAGGAGAAGAATATGTTTAGTAAAATAGTGATCCTGTTTGAGCCTCACAAAAAAAATGTGGGGCAGAAAGAGCAGGTAAGAGTGGTGTATCTCTCACCTCTTTATGAAAAAAAGAATGAAAAACTTTGATAATGTTCCCCGATCACTCTCTGAGAATCACCTCTCTCTGCCTCAGCCCACAGGGTTTATTTCTGTGTTTTTCTTTTCTTTAGATGCAGATGTTATTGTGTTTTTAATATATGAAAATTCTCCATCTGTTCCTTTAAATTGGGGCTTTATTTTATAACTTTTCATAATCTCTCCAAGTCACATGTGGGAAATTGTTTTCATTTCTGTATAGCACAGAGACAGACATTGAAAAAAAATCTGTGCAGATCTGCCCACCCTGCCTATTGTCTCAGCCTCCCTATATGCAGCCAGTCTGACCTGATGTGTTCTGGCCTTTAGGATGTGATGAGATCCGACATAAATTCAATGAGTATTACTTTTGAACAGAAGATGCTGCAATATGAACTCCACACAAGTTTTCCTTCCATCTTCAGATCGGAGACGTGAAGCATTTCACAACATCCGATGGACGAAGAGGACAGAGGCTGGAAGTGAAGCTCTTTGACGACTCCGTCTCCTCTTTTCCTCTCATTTGGTCAGTCGTCCTCATTCCTCAGTGGCCTAATGAGAAAAGCTGTTTGTCCTTTGAACTTTCTCCCCTATTGTTGCCTCTATTTAATTACCGGCTTCTCTGTTTTCAGCTGGGACATGGAGGCCATTCAGCTGATGCAGAACCTTCTCCCCAGAGAGACGGGTAGGCTAGCAGCTGCTCCTTTCCTCTGCTATCATCCCACCCGGAGAACTCACCTTTGTGTCACCTTTGGTTTTATCTGAAAGTGCTCTTCATCGCTGACGCAAAGATGAGCTTTGACAGCTTTCGCAGCAGCATGGTGGCGACGGTTAACTCCAAGACCATTATTACCGTCAACCCCGGTAAGATAACACTGCAACATCCACACCATCAGAGTATCTGGCAGCGCGGCCAGAATGAACAGCGTCAGCTTTCCACCATCAAAAACAAAAACAGTTTTTAACTTTATTATTACAATTTTTCCTCAGACACAAGAGAGGCCAGTTTTTTGTTCAGCTATGCTAAAAAACTATCAGAGTCTGGAGTTTTAGACCAAGAGGAGGCATCAGAAGATCCGACCGGTGGGTTTTGTAAAGAATTACACTCCTTCCTATTTGATGAGACAAAATGTGATCAATCCTTTTTTGGTGTGAATACTTTTTTTTATAAAGCACAGAGGAATGTCTTTAAATAACTGCAGCTGTGTGCCTGTGCAGTGGAGTCCATCACTGATGTGTACACTGTGAACCAGCTGAAGGAGAGGGCCAAAGAGCAGTCAGAGCCTCTTTATGGCATCACCTACAGCTTCATCTCCAAGTTCGACCTCGACTCGTCCGTCTCAAAGGTCATCAAGACCCGCTGGTAAATAAACACAGAGCTGGAACAGACCTTCCAGCTGCGTCATGATTTCAGTGACTCTGAGCTCCGCTCACTGCTTTGATCTGATTCCCTTTTTTTTAGTTCTAAATGTAAGTTCCTGGTGACGGAGGATATGAAGAGCTGCACCAACCAGCTCTGTCCTGGGAGGGAGCAGCCTCTCTCCACCACCACCGGCTTCGACTTATTGGTGGACTTCACAGACCACACCGGCACTCTGCAGGCCTGCAGCCTCAGAGGACTGGTGGCAGAGCAGACCCTCGGCTGCACGGTCAGTCCCTCTTCCTGGATACCATTATCTTCATGTTTCACTTTGAACTAACAACACTCTGACATGCTGCAGACTGATGAGTTCATCACTTTGACCGATGATCAGCGAACGTCACTGAAGTGGAAATTTCTATTGGGACGGTGCAAAATATACATAAAGGTACTGAAGGCTTTGCTTGCCTCTATTTGTTTCTATGAAGATTAATTATGCATTTATAAAATCAAATAATGTGTGGTAGATCCTCCCGTCTCCAAGGATGAAGAGTGGACTCAGGGGGATGATCCTGGCGTGTACGCTGGCGGATCCAGGAGAGGTGAAGCAGCATATGACCAAGCTGCTTCAGGAACTTTAATCAGCAAATGTTTCTGTCATATGTTCTGCTGCTCGTTTGGTTCTGAGATTATTCAGCAATATCGCATATATTTATTTAATTTATATATTTAATGTATTTATTCAGTTGGTGTGGTATTAAAATATGGCTTTAATAAAATCTATTTAAAAACATTCAGTTATTGTCTGTTACTCCAGGGCTCCTTCAAAGTCTTAAAAGTTTTAGACATATTTTTCAGGTCTCTATATAGAGAATATTAGCACTAGCAGGCTCTTTTTTATTAATTCCTTCCATTGATACTGTCTATTTTGTTTATTGTTTGTAAAAAATGTAAAAGCCAGATAAGTTTTTATTTTTTTAGTTTTATTTATTTTTTTTATGTGGAGCTGTAGTTATGTGTAGATACACCAGCAGGGGGCAGTAGTGTTCCAGGCGGAACTAAAAGTTGAAGCTGCACGTTTCTGGCGGACCTCTTACGGAAAGAGACCTGTAGGTAATGTCAACAAATTCTACATTCATTCGAAATGTTTTTTTTACGTGTGTTTTATCTGATATAAAAATCTAGATCAGAACGTCTAGATTGTAACCGGTGCAGCTAGCCTGTCATGCTAAAAGTCTTATACAGTTTCTGCTTTTCATCTCCACAGTTTTTCACATCTTTCCACAAACCAGCTGCAGAAACATGAACGTGAACCAGGGGACGGTGGGCAGCGACCCGGTCATTCTGGCAACGGCTGGATACGACCACACCGTCCGGTTCTGGCAGGCCCACAGCGGGATCTGCACCAGGACCGTCCAGCACCAGGACTCTGTATCCTCTCCTATCAACCCTGCTTGGATCAGTGCAGCAGAGATGCCTTTAGGGTGCTGATTAAAAAATAAACTGAACCATGATGTGATGATGATGGTGGATTCCTTAACATTTCGATCCAGCAGGTGAATTCTCTCGAAGTCACACCAGACCGAAGTATGATTGCTGCTGCAGGTGAGTTCAACCTCACCTTTATAGAACAGAATAGAATAGAAAAGAAAAAATCCCTTTATTGTCCCACAATGGGGAAATTCTGGTGTTTACAGCAGCAGAAAGATTATAGAAAAAAATGTCATGCAAATGTGGATCTTAGAAAAAAATGTATAAGAATAACATAATAGTGAAGAATTAAAAGATAAACAATAAAATACTGCACTGTAAAGTGTTTTGACAATATAAAAATCTGCACCTGGAGAATAAATATCCAAAAAGCTATGGACATTTTTACAGTAATGGATTTTTTATTTTATTTATTTAACCAGGGGGGAAAAATCCCATTGAGATTAAAAACCTCTTTTTCAAGAGAGTCCTAGCCAAGAGGCAGCAAAGTTACATAAGAAACAGAGATACCTTAAATTAAGTGACAGGTACATAAAAAAAACATATCAAGTAAAACAATTACAGATCATTGGGGCTGCTTCAAATTCTTTCACTTTCAACTGAAAAGCATTAAAAATTAAAAACTCAGTAAACTTCCAATTTCTTTGTGAAAACTTCCACGCACAAGGAGTTGCTTTCTTTCCTAGTTC